GTGACCTGAGATGGAAATGGGGACATGTCAGTGAGACCCAACTGGCCTCCATGGCTGTGTGAACCTTTAACTTAATTCTGGAGGTGATGAGTGGTGCACCAGTCAGCTACTGCTGCGACAGTGCTGCCCAAGCACAGTGGCTTCAAACAACAGTCACTGATTGTCAACTGGGAGTGGGCTGATTTATGATGGACCAGCTGGACTTACTTAGAGACCCATGGTTCCCTGGGTCTCTCTGCTTCCTGGAATCAGTGGGCTGCGGGGGCATGTTCCTCCCCTGGAGGTGCAGAAGCACAGAGGGCCATTCCCCTTGGCCAGGTATATTGCAAACCTTCCCTTGCTTCACTTTTGCCACCTCCTAGTGGATGACAAAGATCCCGTGGCCATTCTCACCAGCCGTGGGACAAGGCAGCTTGCTCTGCCCCCAGTCAGGGAGGGGGTGTGGGGGAATAATTCCTGCTTACTGAAGTGATTTGCAACTCCAAGCACATGCTCCCCTGCGTCTGGAGAAGTGGTGGGGACAGTGACGGAGGGTGTGGCAGGCATCGCTGTGGCCGTGGCCTGGGCAAACAGTATCTCATTAAAACACAAAGCCCATGCCTGGTGGGTATTATTCTATTAAAGGGATGAGCAGACAGATGAAAATAGACTACGTGACTTGCCCAACCAAGTGGTTAATGGAGGTGGAGCCAGAACGTCCCTGAGCAGAGCAGAGGGACTGTTCCTGGGGTGCCCCTCCATGTGTCCCTGCTGCCTGCTCACCTACACGGGGGCCAGGGAGCAGCATCCAGCAATACCACCCCCCCACCCCCCCAAGGATTCATGGGACTCTGGCTCCAGAGCAGACAGCCCTGTCCCTGCTCATGGGCAGGAAGTGGCACTGGCCAGCAGCTCCTGGGGCAGTGCCTTCACCTGGCGCTGGCCGGTGCCTGCTGGTGGGTGTGGGTGCGCCTCCTCTCCTCCCTCCCTGTCTCCTTCTCCCTCCTCCCTGGGCCAGTGAGCTCTCTAAGGAGCAGTGACAGCCACCTCTCTCCCCTGCTTCCAAACAGTCATCTAGATGACAAGTTCCTGCAGTCACGAAGCCTGAGCGGGCAGATCTATAACCAAAGCCCTGCCTCCCGCACGCCGCCATTGCGCTGCCCCACAGGGAGCCCCCTTYCCGTTTCCTSGTGTTTCCYTCTGAATCACTTTCCCTGCAGCACGTGGAAGTGAATGCAGGTCCTCGGCCGCCCGATTCTTTATGCACGTGAACCAGCATATTTCACAGTTTGGGGACCTTCCTCCCTCCCCATCAACACATCTTGGCGATTCTCCCACACCGTCCGCAGGAAGTCCCCAGCTCTTCCTTCACAGCCAGAGCGTCCAGCTGTCCGGGTGGACGGGCTCTAGTCCACTTCATGGGCCCTCGTGCTGATGGATGTTGGGGCTCCAGTCCCCAACATCCTGGCAGGTTTTTGAGGGGAACTTCGACACATGGGCAGTGTAAGCTTATCTGCAGAAGATTCTTGAATGGGGACTGTGTGGTGTGACTTTGAGTCCCTGCAGGTCACCCTCCCTGCCTGCCACGTGCACGCCACTGGCAGTCCCCCAGTTGCAGGCCGAGCTTCTAYCCTTCCCAGTTGGACAGGCAGGACATGGGCTTCTGCTTTCAGAACCCCTTCGCCGTAGCCCTGTTCCCCTCGGGATAAAGCCYGGCTTCCCTGGGAGGATGTGGGAGTGGGTACGTCCCTTCTCCAGGCTCATTGTCCACTCAGGWGGGGGACAGGGACACCAGGGACACAGCTCATCTCTGGCTCCAGCCCCCTCAGCAGGGAAACAGGGCAAAGGGACTGCTGGAGCACACCGAAGAGTCCCAGGACACACAGGGCCAGCGGGGAAGGTGCCCCATAGAAGCTGCCCCCCCACGGCCTGTCCCCCAGGTGAGGGGCCTGCTCCCCTGGGCTTCCTGCCTGCCCCTGGCCCTCCCCGTGCAGGGCTCCGGCACCTTGCAGACGCCAGGCTGGTTGCTGTGCGCGTGGATGAGGAGGGGCTCCTGGTGCCTGTGGGGGCGGCCCAGGAAGGTCGGGCTCTTTTCATGGGCGTCAGTGCCTCGGGGACCCCGTGGTGCCAACAGTCACAAAYGGGATGAGGGGATTTACTTGTAGGAAAGTAGGCAGCCAGCTGGGCGGCTGGAGTTCCCTCCCCAGCCTTGTCCCGGGCCCTGCGCTGGGAAGGAGACCATCGCCAGCTGGGAGTGGGATCGGGACGGACTGGTCACTACCCGGAGCCTGGAGGGGCGAGGACAGGCGAATCAGGAGGGGAAGCRGATCTACGTCGAGGGCCATCGCAGAAGTCAGCGAGCCGTGTGCACAGCTACCACCTCGGGGGAGTCACAGTGACACGGGGTCTGGTCTCCTTCATCCGGACCTGCCTGCCCCGCCCCCGGCACTCTAGAAGGGTAGAGGCCGAGGGGAAGAAAGAGGAGCTGTTCCTCAAAAGTGGGCCAGGTGGGTGCAGAGAAGCACACCTGGAATCCCAGGCGCCAGGGGGCCGAGGAGGACCACCAGTTCAAGGCCAGCCTGGGCAACTTAGAGAAACTGTCCCTTGGGAAAAACAAAAGGCGGGTGGTGCAGGGACAGGCTCAATGGTAGATGTCCCCGGATTCAATCTCCATCACACACACACACACACACACACACACACACACACACACACACACACGAGTAAATGGTGGGCCCAGTGGGGACTCTGAAAGGACGTCATGTGGGCGGGATGAAAATGATATGCAAATGACCCATGTCCACATTAAAACCAGGTTCTCGGGCAGGGCCAGTGTCCATCGGTGGGAGACACTGGTCTTCTAAGCACCTTTTGGGGCATCCGGTCAATGTGCCAATCCTGCCCCTCCCCAACTGGTCCCAAGATGCACCAATCCCCACAGCGTGGTCATCTGGAAGGTGACTGTCTCTGCAAGTGTGGCCCCGACMGACACAGGGGCTGCCAGAGGTCCTGGGCCAGAGCCCAGCCTGAACCGTGAGCAGCCCCTTTGGGSCCTTGTGCTCCGGGTGAGTCCCTCCCCCTCAGCCCCACCATTCCTGGCCGAGACCTCCAGCTGGACAGACACCAGAGCGTGAAGCCCTGTAGACGTGCAGGGCCTCCCTCYAGGTTCCAAGGACAGGCCTCTGACCTCCCTGTAGACATCACCGGCCTTGTGACAAGTGTGATGAGAAGCGGTGCACACCCTGGGGACAGGCTGGCTGGGCCCGATCGGAGCTTGTCATTCACGACCCAGGCAGGGGGTCTCTCAGGGCCTTGGGGTCCCAGTGTGTAAAATGGGCATAACCAGGACCCACCCGCCAAGACCAGCAAATGAGCCACTAGCCCTGTTACAAACACACTGTCCCYGAGAGTCACGTTGGAGGCCTGACCCTGGTACCTGTGATGTGAGCTTATCAGAAACAGGGTCTTTGATCAAGTGGAGTCATCAGGGTGGGCCAGGCTAGTGTGACAGGTGTCCTTACAGAGGGAACACGATGGGACAGACACGAGAGAGAAAGGGTGGMCTGGGAAGGGAGGCGGGGACTAGTGACCACCTGCAAGTGTGGGCGCCACAGAGGCCGGCCACCAGCAGAAGCTGGCGGGGCCCACCCTCCCTGGGCCCCCAGAAGGCCCCCTGCCGACACTGTGATTCTGGATGAGCCTCCTCCTGCTTCAAGCCACAGGTTGGTGCTGCCGTGATGGCTACAGGACTCAGCCCAGCCCAGAAACGCGCTGCTGGTGTCACCCGCCAGCCAGTGCTGCTAGCTGCTCTCTATTTGCCATGGGTGGTGGCTCTGAAGGCCCGACACTCCCTCGTCTAACACCGAGAACTGGGCCACCCAGGTGGGGCACAGAGGTGTCCAAAGGTCTTGCACCCTCAGCCCCCAGTTACGCTGGTGGTGACAAGGGGAGCTGGCTTCCTCTCACCACCAGGATCAATGGATCAGCTCAGTGTACCCCCAGCTTCATAAGGCCCAGGGGACACTGACCCCAGGAAAAGGCCTGTGTGCCACTCCACAGGGCGTTGGAAGTGCTCAGACCCTCCCCAATGTGGGGCCTGGTGGGCCCAGGAGGACAAACAGCCCAGAGCCCCTCTTGCCACAGCGGAGGCCCCAGAGCGCTCTGTGACTTGTTCCCAGGAGGGTGCGACACCCTCCACCCACCCTGGTCTCTGTCCAGGTCCGGTACAGAGGTGGCACGGACCTGGCTAGCTGCATGGGAACACTGTTATTTCAATTTGAAGAATATCATGCAGTCAGCGAGGCTTAAAATGCTCGTGTTAATAGCGGCTCCRCAGGCACGGCCAGCTCCTCCCACTGAGGCCGCCCACCAAGACATCCACTCTTGGTGCCAAGTTGGGGAGGTGGGCTTGGACTTGGGGGAGTCTGTGCTGGGCCCACAGCCCCACAGGAGAGTCTTGGAGGAGCCGAGAGGCCAGGGCTGGGGTAGGACATGCACAACCCAGGCCAGGTCCCTCTGTCCCCAGTGGCGAGGACCACAGGGTCATCTGGCACTGGCCCCATAGAGCTGTGAGGAGGGGAGGCCAGGGGAGTGGAACCCATGCTCCTCCTTCAAGGCTCAGGGAGGCCCCGGGAGGCAGCCCTGGCTCTGCCCTGACCAGCCACAGGGCAGCCGCTTTGCCTCTGGGCCTCTCAGCTCCACATTGTAGAAAGGGGGCCACAAGCAGCCCCGGGGGGCTGTGAGCACTGAGGCAGTGTGAAGGACACTCTAGAAACAGCCCGGCCCATGGTGACCAGAGGGCCGGCTGCATTGGCTGGGTGCAGTGGCCAGCTTCGTCCTCGGCTTGGGCTCTGGCAGGGCTAAAGGCAGTGTGGTCCACACCGTGTGGACATCTGCTTGGCCAGGCCGAGGACTGGAAGTAGCTGGAGCGAGGCTGGGGGACAAGGAGCCTCTGGGGTCACAGAGTGCAGTTGGTCCCCACGGGCCAGGGCAAAGTGCTCAAGTCAGGCACAGGTGCAGGGCTATAGGGCAGCCCCGCTGGGCAGAGGGATCTTATAGCCACTGCGCAGGAGCACAAGGCAAGTGCCCAGCCCCAGGGCCCCCGCCAACAGGACAGCACCCAGGGCCTTGAGGAAGGAAGTCCTGGTCCGGGTGAAGGAGCCGGGGGCCATGATGCCCAGCAAGGCGGTGCTGACGGTGAGCGTGTACAGGATGGACACGCCCGTGTTGAGCGCCACGATCTTGCCGAATTTGGCGAACGGGGCGATGATGCAGAAGAAGAGGGGCACRGTGGCGATGACTGTGGTGAGGGCGCTGGACACGATGGCCACACCCACGTGCCGCACGGCTTCCAACGTCCGCCACTGGCGCTGCGAGCGGGCATCCTGGGGCAGCAGAGAGAGAGGTCGGGCCGAGCACCCGCTGGGGACCTGCCCCACCACCTGTGGGGGGTCCCAGCAGCAGGGCATCCTGGGCACAGGGGCACTCAGGGTGGCTGGGGCACTGGGACAGTAAGGTTGGCAGACTAGGTCCTGGGCAATGGGCACCGGATTGCAATCTTTCCGCTTTTGACCCAAAGTGGTGGGTGCACAATGGGGTTGGTTTTACTTATGAATGTCTTCACACCACATAATCCCAGACTGGGGGAAAACAAACCCGAAAACCTTCACGAGGCCCATGGTCCTGGCTCCCAGTGCCCAGGGCAGAGGGCCAGAGGCAGGGCGTGGCCCCGAGGTCCTGGCTGCATGCCCTGCCCGCCCTGCTCCCAGGYTCAGGTCCTGGGGTGCCAGCTGTGCCGGGGCCTCTGGGCACCACGGTGGGGAGGAGGAGGGCAAGAGGCTGCTCACCTCAGCCTGGTGGGGGGGCAGGTTCTCTCCGGCCAGCAGGTAGCCCTCCACCAGATGGACGCAGTAATCCACGGAGGAGCCCACCAGGATGGACAGGGAGATGGCTTCCACCGCGCCCATTTCCCAGCCACTCCAGTACATGATGGTCACCACCAGGCACACGATGCCTGTGACAGGGGCAGCAAGGTGGGCAGCTGGGACCTGCCCTGCCCACATGGCCCTGGAGGACCCTCAGGGAATAGGGAAGTCTTGGGTGACAGGTGGACAAGGCCAGGGTCAGAGGGGGATACCAAAGGTGCAGGTACAGCAACATGTCCCTGAGCCAAATGCTACCACARGGGACACCTGGCTCCTCTTGGGCACAGACTTGTGGGGACAGTCCCATGAGCCACCAAGGAGAGGGTCTTCTGTTTGGGCTGGGGGTATCGTGAAGCCRTCACTGGGTCACATGACTGAGGCTCAGAGTAGCTTGCTGGCTTCAGGCCACCAGGAGACCCTGCCTGCTCTGGTCCCCGTGGGCTGGGCCCGTGGCCACCTACCCAGGATGCTCAGGAGCACAGGCAGCAGCAGCAGGATGTGGGTGGTGAACACGGCCACCGCGGCCACGCAGATGAGCAGGGACAGGGCCAGGCCGTACAGGGCGCTCTGCACCCCTGGAGGTCAGGAAAAGGGCCTCAGCGGCCGTGCAGTGAGGGGCAGGTGGACCCCCACCCCCCACCCGGAGTTCCCTAAACCTGTGACCTTCCCGAGCTGAGGTGACAGTGGCCTGCCACAGGTGGGAACTGCTCTGGAGTCCATGAGCTCACGCTGCCAGGTCTCAGCACAGGCCTGGCCCCTAGAGAGGGCTCACAACTGACAGCTGACAGTGGACAGGACTGCTACGTTGTAGGKGGCCAGATCCCCCAAGCAGGAGGGGACCACACTCTGGCCTGAGGTCAGCAGCCCAGCACCAGCTCATCTGTGCTGCCAGGACTCTGGGCCTGGCTGAGGACGGCAAGACTGTGGCTTGGACAGGACATGTGCCCCACTGCCCAGGACGACTCCTGAAGGCCCCCGCCCGGGGGCCTGCCCGCACCTATGATCTCCATGAAGATCTGCTTCCAGTGCTCGCAGGTCTGGAAGCCGCGGCGCAGGGCCGAGCCCTCTGGGAAGCTCTGCAGCTGCTGCCGGAGGAAGCCCTCCCAGCGCAGGTAGTCGGAGTGGGTCTGGAAGGAGGACTTGCCCTTGTACGTGGTCTGTGGGGACACGGCTTGTGGGACATCGGCAGGACCTGCTCACCCMTCCCAGAGGTGGCTGCCATGCTCAGTGGCCACCAGAGTGTGTCGTGTAGGGGTGAACGATGGTCCCAAATGAGCTCCCACCAGCCGCAGGACATGGCGCGGTTCAGGGGCAACATGTCCCCACCCCTTCCTCCAGGACCACCTTCTCTCGAGGAGCCTCTGCCGTGAGGCCGCTGCACGCGCTGCTCCCTCTCCCCTCGGCCATGCAAGGGCCCGACTCCCCTGGGAAGCCTCCCCTGATGCCCACGATGGGCCTCCTTGGGCTCCCAAGTCCCCACGGTTCCCATCGCAGCCRTGTCACTGTCTGGCAGGCTGCTGGTCTCCGGGCTGGGCTGAGTCTGTGGGGGCAGGAGCAGCCACCTGGCCAGCAGTGGCCAGCTGAGGGGCGCGCCCAGGGTGGTGAGTAAAGAAGGAAAGAAAGGGCCCCCTGCTCTGGAACTTCCCCGTCACCTCACGACCCAGTCATGACCCAGGCCTGCTCACTGCACGGACCAGCCTGCGCTGAGCGTGTGTGTGTGTGTGTGTGTGTGTGTGTGTGTGTGTGTGTGTGTGTATGCGCGCGCGCGCGCAAGAACCTCTGCAGGCAGAGCCACATGATGTCCCGGGGTGACAGAAGCAGGGGAGAGATGGGTGGCTGGTTCCCTGGCCTCTAAGCTCTTTCTGGGCCACGTGGAGGGTCCAACACCTGGCTGTGGCCCTGACCTTGGCCTCCCACCGTGGCAGAGGGAACACGAGGGAAGTGTGTCCAGTGCGCTCAGCAACGGCAAGTGACATGACCCTGGCTGGTGAGCAGGGAGGGCGGACAGCTGCCGCAGCCCAGGGGCAGAGGAGGCTCTGAGAGGGACAGGGCACCTGCACCCTTGGCACGTGACCTCCGGCCAGGGCCCTGGTCAGAGGCAGCCCTGCTCCAGGCCGCGGTCTGCGGGGCCCAGYGGGGCACCAGGCTCACCGACTCGAAGGCCATGGAGATCCACTGCACGCGGCCCTCCTTGACGCCCACCGCCCCGTGGGACAGCTGCCCCGGCAGCAGGTTGGGCTCGGGCAGCTCCCGGCACTCGGGGTGCAGCATTTGCAGGAAGGAGGAGATGCTGTAGCCTGCGGGAGGAGAGGGGGGCTGGGGCCCAGGAGCCGCCCAGGACGCCAGCATCGTCCCCAGGCTCCCAGAGTGGCTGTGACCACTCCAGTGCCTTTAGAACTCCTGTGACACACACCTGCCACTGGAGTGGAAAATGACATCTCAGGTTCTCAGGGACAGCCACGCATGACCTCTGCCAGGCAGGTTCTGTCCTGCCACACACTCAGACATACACAGACACACACACACACACACACAGACAGAGACACAGTCACACACACAGTCACACACAGACACACACACATGAACCCGCACATGCTCCCAGCCACACACACACTGTGCTCATCTGCAAAGCACACGAAGGCCGGCGCCCGCCCGAGAGCCCCCGTGGACACACTCACACAGACGTGGTCTGCAGAGGCCTCGGGGCTGCCCCGCCCACCCACCTGAGGGCAGGCACTGGGCCCCGCCSGGCTTCACCAGCTCGGGGTTGCCCGCGATGGTCTTGCAGAGGCGACACAGGTGCCCGATCTCCTTGAAGAGGTCAAAGCTGCTGTCGTAGACCACGCTGCCCTTTCCCAAAGAGACACAGTGGCCGGGCCGCTCAGTGAGACGGAGACTGGGCCCTGACTCTGCTCGCACCCTGCTGCCACTGTCCCTGTAGGGTGGCAACCCTCTGCGGGTCACCTGTTGTCCCCACTGACTGGCTCTGTCCTGCCCCTCCAGCACCTCTGCGTAGCCACTGCCCACCCTGGAGCGGCCTGGACTCCACGCTCCCGTGTCCTGCTCTTCCTGCTGCGTGCCCAGCCCCTGAGCCTCCCGCCTACTTGCGGCCTTGGCCACAGCTTTGTTCCTGACCCCCCACTGAGTGTGACTCCTAAGGCCAGCGCGTCCCCAGGCCTTTCCACACCATCAGCACTTGAGGCGCAGCCCTGTCCCTCCCCCAGCTTGACCAGTGCCTCCCAAAGCTTCAAGCCCAGAGCAGGGTGTGAACATGAGCGAAGGGCAGGGACAGCGTGGCACAGGGAGCAGACAGAGGTGGCCGGAGCTCACCACTGGCTGGCAGGGCTGCCCTCTCCCCAGGAGGCTCCCAGCTTCCCTCACCTCCACTCCAGCCCCCATGGACGCAGGCAGCCAGCCCAACTCCAAAAGTGTGCCTAGATTTTTGGGTGACCCCAAATCTGCCCTGCGGGGTCCCCTGGGGGTCCTTCTGGGGTGGTGAAGCCCGAGGAGCCAGGAGGGTGTGGGGCTAGAGGCCCAGGGCTGGTGCTCCTCTGCTAGCCTGTCGGGGGCCCTGTGGCACCTGCCCAGAGYGGGCCCACCTACCGGGTCTCCAATGACATGGTTGTCCACCTGCCGGGTGCGGTTGAGGCCAATGATGCCAAAGACCACGAAGACCATGGCCCCTGTGTCCACCAGAGGCCGCACTGCTGGCTTCCCGCAGCCCGTGTTCACGCAGGGGTTGAAGCCAAAGGTGGCCGAGAGGCGGGCCTTGGGCACTGTGGACGGGTGGGTGCTGTAAGGGAGGGTGAGAGGGTGGGCAGGAGCTCCCGAGCCCCCTTGGGTCCCCACAAGTACCTCTCTCACTAGGCACGTAGAAGAAGCCCTTGGTGGGCCCATCGGGGCTGGCGCTGAGCAGGCAGCCGGGAGGTGCACCACACACGCGCCCGTGGAAGGGGGGCTTGTGGGACTGGGCAAAGTACAGCTTCCTGTGGAGGCAAGGGAGGCCAGGGCTGAGGCTGGGAAGGCCAGGAGGTCCTGGGGAGGCAAGGCACGCAGGCCATGCCAAGGAGCCAGGAGGCTGCAGGGGACAGGCCTGGGCTCCCTGCAGAACGAGGGCTTGGTCTCAGGTAGACAGAGCCGTGCCCAGGGCCGGGGGGGAGGCCTGTTCTAGCCCTGGCCCTGGTCAAGGCTGAGCTCCCCATGGTGGTGGAGCACAGTGGCAGTAGCTTCAGACTGTCCAGCAGGGAGCTAAGGGCTCAGGAGGGGCGGGGGCCAGCTGAGTACCCTGCTCAGCAGCCCCAGGTCACCTCCACCTGCAGAGCTGGGAGCCTCAGGTCCCAGGTGAAGGGTGGGCTCCATGGCCAAGAGCTTGCTGGCCACAGACCCGAGGCGGTCCAGCTCTTTCTAGGATGTGTTACRCTCATCCGGGCAGCTGACCCCGGTCATGGCTGAGAGTGCAGGGCAAGTCCAGGGAGGACAGGCAGAGGGTCCCCAGCCCCGAGTCAGCAGGTGCCCAGCTAGAAAGGGCCGTGCTGGTCCCCCCTTCCCCAGGTAGAGTCTGGCCTGGTGTGGTGCCCACACCTGGACCACAGCCCGTGGGTCACGGTCACAGTGCAGGGCCAGGCGGCCATGCTCCTCCACGGTGAGTGGGCTGTTTCTTTCTGAGCATGAGTCACACTTTGTTATGACACTGCTGTCCCTGCCTGGCTCCCACTAGGGTCCCCAAGGGTGGGAGCCACACTGGCCYGTCCCCCGGCCCCCACCCTATCTGGCTCTTGGTGGATGACAGCCTCACKGAAGAAATGCAGAAGAAATGAACGTGAGGCCGCGTTCAGAACACAGGAGTGACGCCCCCGTTGCCCGGGGCACACGGCCACTGGCAGCCTTCGCAGACAGGGCCTAAGTGTCCCACAGGGAGCTCCGGCAGACACGGCCCTCACCCCATAGTCTGAGGGACACGGGAAGTGAGTATTTTCAAATTAAATGCAGACGTAGAGCCCGGACGGGCGCCGTGGACAGGAAGTGCGGGTTCGCAGGGCTGGGTAAGGTGCAGGGGATAAGGCGACAACAAACCCCAGGGGGCCCCTGTGGTACACAGACCTGCTCCTGGGGTGGACAGGTCACCTGCCAGACCATGAGACTGCAGATGACCAGGGGCCAGAGAGCGAGCCTGGTAGGGCGATCTGGGGGGAGGAGCTGGGGGAGGGGACAGCAGATGCAAAACCCTGAGGTGGGAGAGCCTGGGAGCCTGAGGGGGCCTGTGTCCCACGGTGTGTGTGTGTGTGTGTGTGTGTGTGTGTGTGTGTGTGTGTGAGAGAGAGAGAGAGAGAGAGAGAGAGAGAGAGAGAGGGAGAGCAGGAGAGAGGGAGCCCCTGGACACAGTCGCTGCCAGGTCCCCGCGCCCCATCCTGGGCACAGACAGGAACAGGTGTGTGGGAAAGGACAGAGCCTTCCTGCAGCACCTGGTGACACTGTTCATGTGACCTGGGTGGGGGGATACACAGAGACAGAGACACAGAGAGAGAGAAAGAGACAGAGAGAGACAGAGAGAAAAGTGGGAGGAGGTTGGGGGAAGGGAGGAGGGAGGGAGAGGGAGAGAAGCGGGTGGACAGGGTGGCGCTGGCCAGCGGGGTGGCTCGTCCACGGGCGGGCAGGGCGTTACCGAGTGTGCTGCTGCTCCTTGGCGGCCACGTAGAAGCTGAAGTCAAACTTCCAGCCCCGCCTGGCGTCACAGGCCACGGCCGTCAGCATCCACTTGTGGACGGGGCTCGCGGCCGGGAGCAGCCCTACTGTAGACATACAAGCGGTCAGCTTCTTGGTGAAGTCACCAAAAGGCGCTCTATACACCTAAGCAGTGGATCGACAGAGACAAGACACGTGACTCGGGGAGGCCGCCTGGCCGCTGGCCCGTCCCGCCCGGCTCAGCAGTCTGCCCAGTCCCAGCCCCAGTGGAGGTCAGGCCCCGGGCGCAGGCGCGAGGCCTGGTGAGCCGCAAAGCGAGCGGTCCTCCCTGTCTGAGCCTCGGTTCTCCCTCCACCAACGGTCACTGAGCTCCCCCACGCAGGACAGGCTCTGAGGACAGAGCACAGTCCCTGCCCTCCTGGGGCTGGCCCTGAGGAGGGTGTCAGGGCACGAGGCAGAACAGATGCGGGGACAGAGGGCACCCTGAGGGAGGCGGGCCGGGCCCTCTGAGGGCACCAAGCCAAACCCGAGCGAGGGCTCGGGAAGAGGCTGCTGGAGGAGCTGGGAGGAGAGCCCTCGGGGGGACAGCAAGGCAGAGCTCGGGGTCAGGGGGCTGGCRGCCTCATCCTCCCAGTGGACACAAACCCAACCAGGGGTCACACGTGTGACCATCATGTGGAGCAGGGGTGTGCTGAAGGGGAACGCAGGACATCTGGGTGGGCCCTGGAGACCCCTGGGTGCTGGAGTGGCTGCACGCCCTGACTTGTACTGGGTCCTAGGTGCAAGGCTCACACTGCCTGGCCTGACCACAGGGGCCCCTRATAGTGCTGGCTGCTACCTTCTATATCCTCATTGCACAGATGAGGAAACCGAGGCTCAGAGAGGTAAAGTGACCGCCAAGGACACCCAGGCGACGCACGGCAGAGCCAGGACTTGACTCAGGGCTGTGTGGCCCCCACCCTGCAGGTCTCTGCGCAGTCCTGGCTCATGTGGAACGGTCTCCCCACTCATGCCAGTGCCGTCCCCACGGGCCCCACCCTCCTGCCAGTGTGGCACCACAGGCCCCTCGGGTCAGGACAGCCAGCTCACCTGGAAGGAGGGCACCTCTCCGTCCCCAGGGGCCACGGCCTGCCAGGGCGCGGGCAGGCTGGCGTTGAGGGACAGCCTGTAGATGGCRGGGTGGCCTTTACTCTTTACTTTGGAGATGTACACGGTGCCCAGSGAGTCTAGGACAAGTGCAGAAGGAAGGGGAGCGAATGGTTACCTGATGGCCCACAGCTGTCCCCAGGTGCAGGCTCTGCCCTCCCTACTGGACCACCCACGGCAGTGAGTGGGGTGGGGGTGGCACAGGYCGTGGGGGGCAGTGACAGAAGTGATGGTGAAGTGCTGGACTAGGGTGGCCACCCACGGACAGGGCCACAGTGTGAACAGGGGGCCTGGTGCTGGTGACCATGGYGGGAACAGGTGGTGGCAATGTGTGGGGTGACAGAAGCAGACACCCCTGCCCTGCAGGGCTGGTTCCTGCAGTACTGTGTCCCTGCGGGTCCCCTCTGGTGGAGACCCCAGCAGGGAAACACCAGCCTCCAGGGCCCAGTCACCCCGCCAACACTCGGGAGGCTGTGGCGACCAGGCAGGGGAGTGGCGGGAGGCCCAGCTCTGGCCTAGGGGAGCCGTGGGCCCGAGTGCGCCCCACACCCCGTCCCCCTCCGCCAAGGAGGACAAGGCTGTGGGAGGATGGAGGCTGAGCTTCGTCTGCTGCCTGTGCAGGGTCCCCAACTCCCGCTCCAGGAGGGCCCCGGCCCTGGCCCCAGCTCACCCTGCGGACTGGCCTCAGGCCGGCTGGCCCAGGGGGCCCCAGAGCCCCGCTTCCTTTTCTCCAGGGACGTCCGGATGTTGTTYTGCAGGCTGTGGGGCTTCTCCTGGAACAGACCTGACCCCCACACCGTGTCAGGGACAGCAGGGCCTCCCTGGCTGGCCCAGTGGGTAAAGGGCAGAGGCCGGGATCCTCCGGGGGCCCAGAGCTGGGGGGTGTCAGGGTCTGAAAGAGACCGGGTGGGGCTGAGGGGAACATCAGACGCAGAACTGTGTCCCCGGGACTGCACCTGCCTACAGACAGGCCACTGTGGGCTCTGTCCAGCTGCCTGCCCAGAGCCTGGGGAGCAAACACAGCCCCTCCTGAGCTTAGCCGTGCATCTGGCCCAGAAAAGCCCGGCGGCAGGAGCGTRGGAGTGGGGCCAGCAGGGACAACAGCAGGCCACGGGACTGCCACAGGTGCTGTGGACTAGGGTTCTATTTGCTTTAAATGAGAGAAACCTCACGTGTCAGCAGCTGCGTCCCCACAGTGACCCGGGAGGAGAAAGTGGTTCAGGGAGGTTGGTGACCTGGGCATGTGGCAAGAGCCATGCCCCAGAGGCTCTGCCCTGGCTGCCCTCCTCAGCTGAAGCTCCACCTGCGGCCACGTGAAGGGCCACCTGTGGACTGAGCGATGAGCCCAGGGGTGGGYAGAGGCCCTGAGGTGGCGGTGAGGTCGTTTTGTGCCCAGGCAGGGCCATGGCACCCAGGGGACTCGGGCAGCACCTCTGAGCTTCAGCTGAATACCTGCCTGTGGCTAGCGCCATGACTGACAGGTCACCAAGGACACCGCCCTGACTAAACCAAGGTGGCCGGGCACCTGGAGGCGCTCACCCCAGGGTCCTCGCATCTGCTTCTGCTGCCCCAGCAGGTTTGACGTTGGGCCGACCTGCCCACCTGGACCTCAGGCTGCCCACCTGTAGGGCGAGGGCCTGGACCAGACCCTCTAAGGCAAGGAGCCCCTGCTCACCCTGACACCAGCTCCACCACCAGGGGCAGGAGAGGGAAGCCCCGGGAGCACCTCAGCCCCAGGGGGTGTGGGCAGTGGTCCCGCCCACTGGGCCTCACCCTGACAGCRCAGGCTTCTATCCCACCCAGCCAGCCCCCCTCCCCTCCACACTGCCCCTGGGACACTCGRTCAGCAACGTCTTTGCTGGTCTCCCAGCCAGCACTGCCCCCCACACTGGCTTCCAGGGACAGTCAGAATGGACTCCAAACTCCCTGCTTCAGCCCACCGCCCGGGCCCAGCCACCCCGGCGGCCTTGGCTCCTACAGCTGCCCCTCCCTGATGTGGCYGCTGCTCCCCAGGCTGGCACTGCCCCTCAGCCCACCCCGCCCAGTCTGGCTGACTCCCCTCCCCGGCCTCCCAGCCCAGGAAGTCCCTCCTCTCCTCAGCCTCAGCTGAGACATCACCTCCCCGAGGGCCTGGCAGGACACCACACCCAGGGCACCTGCTGTCCCACAAGCTCATGCACACGATCGTGAACACAGGCTCCTGGAGCTCAGGGGCCTGTCCCTCCTGCCCACTGTCTCCTTGGTGCCAATGCATGGCGCCACCCAGGAAGCACATAATGAAACATGAGGACAGAGGCCGGTGGCACACAGTGACGCGGAGCCTGGATCTCACACCTCTTAGGTGACAGTCTGGCGCTGGGTGGAGGGTGGCGATGTGTCATGAGCGCTCACCTGAGCAGGTGATGCAGGAGATGCCCTCGGCGCTCAGGTTGTACTTGAGGTCCAGCAGCACCTGGATGTTGGTGTCCGGCCGGAAGAGCAGAGGGGCGCGGCTGGCGGGGCGGAGGCGGCTGGCGAATACCAGGGACAGGACAAGGATGGAGACGAAGAGCCCTGCGGGAGGGACGCTCCGCTAGGCGGGGCTGGCCCAGCAGCAAGTCCACAGCCAGGCAGCCAAGGGAGCGGGCAAGGCCGTGTGGCAGCCTGCGGGTGACATCTCCTGGGGACTTGTCCCCAGGGCAGGGGCTGTGCCATGTGGAGTCACTGGGTGAGCAGCMGGCCTCCTAGTGTGTCACAGCTCTCGAGGGGCTGGCACACCACCCGACGGCACCCAATTCCAACCTGCTGCTGAAGGTGCGGGCAGGTCAGTGCTGGGCGTGCGCTGAGCGCTCTGGCCTGGGCCTCTGCAGCGACCCTCACAGCCCTAATGGTGTCTCACCAGATGTGTTTCTCATTGTCCAKGACGAAGAGGAAACTGGGGGTCAGGCTGACACAGCCAAAGCCACAGATAGCAGGCGGCAGAGCCGGGGTTCAAGCTCAGCCAAGGCCAGCGTCAGGGTTCTGCACTACTGCCCAGCGCAGGGACCAGCTGTGGCCACAGCGGGACCAGCCACATTCTGCACAGGCAGGAGAGGCTCAGGGAGGGAGGCTCCGCCCAGACCTCCAACCTCCAGTTCACCTCTGCATGGGCTCCTGGGAGCACGTGCTGGGCTGCAGGTGACGCAGGCAGGGGGTGGAGGACTCACCCACGACCACCCAGCGGCTCTTGACGGCGGACCACAGGGCCCAGTGGTTCAGCAGCTCCTGCAGCTGCACCAGGAGCTGGTCCCGGCTGCCCCTGCCAGGGCACGGCTGCAGGCCCTCTGGGGGCACGGACACCAGCGACACATCTCCCAGCTCCAGGGACACTGCCAGGGCAGAGTGGTGGCCTGTCACAGCCTTCTTGGCGTGTACCCCTCCAGGGAGGCCCAGCGTGYGAGGACCCCATGGGCTGCCTCGGCCACTGCTACTGGGACCGGTCTTCCCCACACCATGTGGCTAGCGGCCCCTCCCAGGCCTGTACCGCTCTCACCCGGCTCCTCCTCGACGCTCAGCAAGGGGATGTCGTCGTCCAGGTAGGGCATGGGGCCCTGGCCAGGGCTGCCCCCTGCCCGCTCAGGGGTGGCAAACATGTCCCCAGGGAAGTGCAAGGAGCTCTTGTGGCCGCATTTCTGGTGGCAACTATGGAGAGGGCGGGGTGAGGCTGGAGTCCAGAGGCCATGGGCACCCGGGACACGAGCCTGTTCCCTCACGGTAAGGCACCCAGCTCCCGGGTTTTGGTGGGGGGAGCAGTGGGTGACAGTTTGTGTAGACGGCGCTGGGAAAGCGGGCACCAGAGGTGACTAACACAACCTTTGCCCACTGCCTGGCCCAGGACTGGCATACAGCAGGCGCTCAATGAAGAACCCAAGGCTTTGGAAGATGGGGTGCCGTGTGGTGGCTCTGCAGGCAAGGACACGGTGGCTCACCTGGCCTGGCAGGAGCTCTCCAGGGGTGCCACGTAGAGGCTCCAGAGGCCCAGGGCGGCGGGCATGGTGAAGAGCACAGCCAGCCAGCAGCAGGACACGATCAGCGACATGAACAGGCCGAAGTCGTGCACGGCCGGGATCTGGACGGGGCGCGGAGGGACACACGCAGAGACACTCAGGCCCGGGCTGCTGGTGGTACGCCAGCGCTGGCCTTGGGGACATGGAGCTGGCGAGGTGACGGCGGCTGGTGAAAGCCCTATGCTTGATGGCAGAGGCCCCTGTCCACCGGCAGCCCACTGCCCAGAGAGCCATCGGGACCAGAGGAAGGAGAGGAGCTGAGGAAGATGTCTCCCTCCAGACCTGGCTGCGCTGGCCGGGGGAAGGGAAGGGAAGATGCCACCCGAGGGAAGCAGGGAGCCCGGGGACAGGAGCCCAGAATCCCACAGGGACCTTCCTGGGCATGTGCCAGACGAGCCACGAGAGGCACCCTCACTGCCTTCTCATTCCACTCCCAGAATCATTCACAGTGAGGAACGCGTGGCTCAGAGAGGTTGAGCAACCAGCCCAAGTCACACAGAGCAGGCCTGAAATGGCCCTGCCTGCCCCCTGCTTGGCTCTCCAGGAGGCCCGGACAATCCCAGGGCACGCACGGTGGCCAGACGTGCTCTGCACCTCGGTCACCATGGCTGGGACTGCCTTTCGGGTTCCTTCAGCACTGTGGCCCCAGCCCACTGCTTCCCCCGATCCCCCTCAGGTGCACAGGCCAGAGGGYGCAGCAGCGCCAGGGATGAGGAGGTGGCACAGAGGGTGGGGACAGCCCCAGGCCCAGGTGGCCCCTGTGCGGTGTGGAGGAAGTCCCTTAACCCCTCTGGCGCCAGCCTCTGTCAGGAACTCGGGAGGTGATCACACCAGGGACCTCCGAGCTCTGCGCACCGTCCTGTGCCCTGGCGAGGCGCAGGCCACCCGTGGCGTCGGATCCAGCCTGTGCTAGGCTTCGGTAGCGGGTCAGGGGTGGATGCGGACTGCAGGGGGCAAGTGCCTTGAGGCCCAGGCTGCATGGTCACACTCAGGCCGGGGACAGCCCCGCAGGGGGCCAGGGAGGCTGGGACAGGGATGGGGCAGGTCCCCCACCTGGGAGAAGACGTTGGCCGCGTAGGCGGCGGCCGTGGTCAGGGAGGTGAAGAAGGTGGCCTTGCCGGCCGTCTGGATGGTGTGGACCATGCGCAGCTGCGGGTCCTCCAGGTGGGTGGCCTGGCGGTAGGTGTTGATGAACACAAAGACGTCGTCCACACCTGAGGAGGGCGTCCGGCTGCAGGGCAGGCCCAGGCACCAGCAGCCCCAGCAGCCCCCAGAGCCAGGCCCCAGGGCGGTCTTCTCAGCTTGCAGTGGGCAAYGGCCCACTCGATGCGCCCACCGGGCGGTCCTCCAGATCTCCGCCTCCGTCCCTCGCTCCCAGGGCTCCCGCCAGCCTCGCCTCTTTCTGCCCAGCACCTGCCACCACCCGCTGCCCCTCATACTCTAACCCCACTTCAGGGCTCTGGGGTCGGGAGGGGGCTTAGAGGCCCCGTCCAGGGAGAAGGCCTTGGTGGGGAAGGGACCGAGTTCCCAAGGCCACTCACCAATGCCCACGATCACGAAGGCTGCCACCCCGTTGAGGATGCCCAGGTACTGAACGCCAAAGACCACGTGGTACAGGAAGAGCGCCACCAGGCAGCTGAGGCCGATGCTGGCGATCCCGAAGAAGGACAGGAACACTGGCCCGCGGGGACACAGGTGAGAGGGACCCTCGCAGARCACGAGCCCTGCTGGCCTCCCCGGCCCTCATCCCTGGATGCCCTCACCACCATCTGTTCCCAGCAGTCTCAGTGCTCGACGCCCAAGGGTGCCTTTGGGTGACGCTGGGTGAGAGGCTCGAGTGCCCGGGGAAGCCACCCGCACAGGCCGGGAGCTGGGGGCTAGTCTTTGCAGAGCTTGTCTCAAGTACCCGCAGAGGGTCACGGGTGTCACGTCTGTGGCGTCTGTGACCAGAGGAGTGGATGATCACGCACCTCCTCCACCTCCGAGGGCAATTCCCTCCCCTGTCCACTTGGCGGACAGAGCCGACCATAACAGCAGTAGGCAGGAGCCSGTGAGCATTGGAGGTGGCCGTGCAAACGGGGACAGGGACAAAGGGCAGCTGACTTGGGACAGAAACAGCCTGCAGAATGACCCATGGCCAAGCCCAACACCCCAGACTCCCCAGCACAAGGCTCCCAAGGAGACGGCAGGGGCAAACCTTAACTGCACGACGTCCGGGGTCGGGCCCTCTGCACCACCTGACCTGCCTCTGGACCTCGGCTGCCTGCCCGGGGTGGCAGGTGGCTTCTGAGCCGGGCACTGGCGCTGACACCCTGGATTCAAGGCCACCCTGGCACCCTTGAGAAGYTCTAGCCAGCAGCACCCTGGGGAGAGGGCCGGCCCGGGGAGGCGCCTACCTGAGCAGGAGGTGAGGACGTAGACCAGGGCGGCTATGCAGCTGCTGCTGATGAAGGCCAGCAGCATGTCGTTGTTGAAGGTCCTGCGCACCTCGTAGTCAAAGAGGTCTGTGCCCCCGTAGAGCACCTGGACTTTGCTGGGGGAAGGACACGAGAGGACAGATGGGAGGGGATCCAATGTGGTGTGAACCCCAGAAGGACCAGGAGCCGCCACGTTCCAGGCTTCACCTGGGCTGCACATCGGAATCGCCTGGGGCTTCCAGACTCCCTTCCGTCCAGGCCAGACGCCAAAGAGGTTTGTGAGCTGAGCCGCCAGCATCTGCTAAAGTCTCCCGGTGACTCAGGCACAGCCCAGGCTGGGGACCCCTGTCTACACAGCCGATCACCAACTAGATAGATCCAGATCTGGGGGCCACCCTCCAGTCCCCAATCATCCATAGCAAAGCTGACCCTGAAACGGGCCGCTGGACACTGGGTTTCACACGGCTGTGCAGCCTATGTTTAACCCATTTCTAATAAGGAAAACCAGGCGGGGCCAACTGTGCTCCAGAGCATCACCACCAGTGACATCGGACTGGCCAGGAAGGATAGCGGACTCAAGACAACAAGACCCTGAGGAAACACGAGAAGCCAGACCGTGGACCCCAGGCAGCACAGCGGTGACCCCGGGAGACAGGGGACAGTGGTTGCCCTGGTTTGCTGTCCTCGGCGGCCTAATTCATGTTGACGGAAAAAAWTACAGACTTGATGAAAACTCTCGGATCCAAGAAATTTGAGCAATAGACGCCACAGACCAAAAACTCAGATAAAAGTGCAACACGGCACATCATAACCCAACCGCTCAACAACACGGACCAGGAGAAAATTCAAAAAGCACTTGAGAAAAAAGACATGTCACATTCAGAGGAACAAAGATGAGGGTGACAGCCAGCTCCTCACTGGAAACAATACACTCAGAAACAAGTGCGTCAACATCCCTTCCACACTGGGGACACTCCCAACCCAGGATTCTTTATCCTGCAGGAAATCTATTTCAAAACCAAGGCAAATAAAGACTTTCAGGTGCTCCAAAGATGAAATGGATCTCAGCGCACCCACCCTTCAGAGATGTGAAAGGAGGCTTCAGGCAGCACACGACAGCGTAAGGAATGTGGGCTACACGAGGAACAGAGGCACCCCAAACGGAAATAACGTGAATAGAAACATGAAGTTTTCTTTTTTAAAAAAATATTTTTTAAAAAATATAATAAATAAAGGTCCAGTTGTTGATGGACCTTTATTTAATTTGCTTATTTATAGGAGGTGCTAGGAATCGAACCCCTGCCTCACACATGGGAGGCAAGCACTCTACCGCTGAGCTACAACTCCAGCCCCTGAAACCTTCTTATTGTTTACTCAAGTACCTTTAAAAGATTACTGGCCACTTCCGAGATCACAAGAGAGTGTGAGATTTGTGATGTAAGTAGCACGTGTGACGATGAGCATGAAGACCAGGAGGGGCGACGGCAGCGTATTATCATCATGCGTGATGTTCAGTGTGACRTGGTGCAACAGCACTTGAAGGTACACTGTGATAGTGAAAGAGGGAGACTATGAATCCTGAAGCAAYCACTAAAAGAAGAGTTATGGCTAAAAAGCCAACCAAGGAGATTAAACAGAAACATGGGAAATACTTAGTTTACCCCAAAGAGAAGAAAAGAAAAACAGAGAACAAATGGACAGTTAGGAAAAAATAAGACAGAGGTAGGTAAATCCAGATCAATAACTGCATTAACTGTAAGTGGATAAACACATCAATTAAAAGGCACAGACTGACAGGCAGATTTTTAAAAGTGAAGACCAGGCTCCATACAAAAAAAATCTACTTTCAATATAAAGATAAACATGTTAAAGCAAAGGGACAGGAAAAAACATACCAGGTTAACATGAACTAAAAGAAGGTTGAAGTGTTTATATTAATAACAAATGAAGTGAATTTCGGAGCAAAGAACATTATTAGGGATAAAGAAGGATAATTTTAAAATGAAGACAGGTCAATTCATTTAGAGAATACAATAATCCTACATGTTTCTGCATCTAATAACAGACCTTTAAATACATGAAACAAAAATTCAAAGCTATGAAAAAAGAAATAGATGAATCCACAATTATAGCTGAATACTCCAATACTCCTCTTATAATAATTGCTGGAACAATTAGAAAACCAGTGAGGATTCAGGAGACTTGAACAACACAATCAGCCAACTTGACCTCATTGTCATACACAGAATCCTTCATCAAATGATGGAAGAATACATTCTTTTCAAGTGCAAAGGGACCATTTAACAAGACAGATCTTAGAACAGTCCATAAAATAAGAGTCCACAAATATGAAAGGACATGAGTCATACAGAGTATGTTCTCTGACTACAATGGAATTAAATAGAAAAGAGGTATTTGTAAACTAAATAACATATAACACATGGGTCAAACAGAGATCAAGAGGGAAAACAGAAAGTATTTTTAACTGAAATGAAAATTAAAATMAAAATATCAAAATTTGTGGGATATACTAAAATAGTAGTATTTAGGAAAAACTTTATAGCACTAAACAAGTATAGCATAAAAGGAGCCACTAATTGATCCAGTTATCCCACTTCTTGGTATATACCCAAAGGACTTAAAATTAGCATACTCTAGTGACACAGCCACATCAATGTTTATAACAGCTCAATTCACAATAGCTAAGCTATGAAACCATAGCTTAGGTGACCTTCAACAGATAAAGGGATAAAGAAAATGTGATTTAATATATATATACACATACATACATACACATATACACACACATACATATATATATATATCACACATTATATACACATACACATACACAATGGAATATTACTCAGCCATAAAGAAAAATGAAATTATGGCATTTGCCAGTAAATGGATGAAACTGGAGACTATCATGCTAAGTGAAATAAGCCAATCCCTCAAAACCAAAAGCTGAATGTTCTGATATATGGGTGTTAACCCACAATGGTTGGGGGGCGGTTGGAGTTCACTGGATTAGACAAAGAGGAATGAAGGGAAGGGAGAGGGGATGGGGACAGGAACGAGAGTAGAATGAATCAGACATAACTTTCCTATGTTCATATATGAATATAAAACCGTGTAACTCCATATAAGGTACCAACCACAAGAATGGGAAGTTACACGCCACGCATGCCAAAATACATTCTACTGTCACKTGCATCAAAAGAATAAAAAAAGGAAAATAGAGAAGTTTCAATCAATGACTTCAACTCTGTTTTGAAACAGTAGAACAAGAAAAAATTAAATGTAAAGTAAGCAGAAGAAAGGAAATAATAAAGATCTAATCATAAATCAATAAAATAGAAAAACAGGAAAAAAGAGCAAATCAATTTTAAAAAAGATAGTTCTTTGAGAAAGTCAATAAAATTGATTAGCCTCTAGCTAGATAGATCGTGGAAAAAGAGAAAAAACACACATGAAAGAGGCAGTTACACTTCCTATATTACTAAGAAGACAACAAAGAAATGTTAGGAATCACTTTATACCAACAAATTTGCAAATATAAATGAAATGGACATATTTCATGAAGGGCTCAAATCACCACAGCTCACACACAAAACATTATCTTGATAGTCTTATATTTTCAAAATCTTTAAATTTGTATTTTAAAACCTTTCCATAAAGAAAACTGCAGGCCCAGACAGTTCCACTGACAAGTGCTACAAGACCTTTAAGGAAGAAATGCTGTCAACTCTCTCTCTATAAACTCCCTGATAAAGTAAAAAAAGAGAATACTTCCCAACTTGTTCTGGAAGGCAAGCAATGCCCTGATACCAGAAATAAGAMAAAGATATTACAAGAGGACACTCCAACCTCTATCACAGACACAATATATCCACGAACACAGAATACAAATAGAACCTAACATTAGATGGCAGATAATATATCCTAACCAAGGGGCCTTATCTCAGGAATAAGCAGTCAATAAATGCAATCCATCATATTAAAAAAGAAGAAATTATGACCATCCCTCTAGATGCAGAAAAAATGTGGGAAAACCTACCAGATCCCCCCCCCAAAAAAAAAAATTCCAGAAAATTAGGTAGAATGGAACTTCTTAAACCTGACAAAAAGACACCAGCAAAAAACTCTGCATACTTCTATTAGGAATAAGACAGGGATGTCCACCCTCATCACTTCTGTCCAATGTTGTAATGGAGATRCTAGCCAGTGCAATCAGACAAGAAAAAGGAAAAAATGTATCAGAACTGGAAAAGGAGTAGCAAAACTGTCTTTATTAGCAGAAAACATGAATATACATGYAGAAACAACAAAACCAAACCCAAAACCCCTTGAAAATCCTTAGTAGAACAAATAAGCTTAGCAAGGTTACAAGACACAAAAGAAATTATATTTATACACACTGAAATGAAAATTAGAAATTGAAATTTAAAAAATATCATTTGCAATAGCATAAAAAATATGAAATGCTTGGGGGTAAATCTGGCAAAAGAAGTCAGCTATATTCTGTTTGTGKGCTTGAAGACTCTATATTAAGATGTCAGTTCTGCTTCAAATCAATCTGTGCATTATACACAATCATATTCAAGATCCCAGCAGAAACACGTAAACTGATTTTGGAGAAACACATAAACTGATTCCAAAATTCATGTGAAAATTCAAAGGACCTAAAATAATTAAAACAACTTAAAAATGAASAATGTGTTGGGACTGGGGATGTGGCTCAAGCGGTTGCRCGCTCGCCTAGCATATGCGGTGCGCTRGGTTCGATCCTCAGCACCACATAAAAATAAAATAAAGATGTTTTGTCCACTGGAAATTAAAAAATAAAAAAATGAAGAATGTGGTTGAAGTACTAACACTAATTTCAAGTCTTGGTACAAAGCTGCAGTAATCAAGACTGTGGTCCAGTGTGTAGATGAAAAAATATAGATTAATCATATATCTATGGACAATAGATTTTTTTGTCCAAGGTGCAAAAGCAATCAGTGGAGAAAGAACAGTCTTTTCAAAGAATGATTCTGGAACAATCAGATATCCATATAAGATATCCACCTCAAYCCATGGTTTGTATATATAAAAATATAAAGATTAACTC